AGTGACAACGAATTGGAAACTAGCCAACATTGTGGCCGTGAATTTTACGGGTCGTAATAACTGTCCAAACGGTTTAAATAAGTGTTATTTTCTCCGCATTTCCTAATGCTATATGTGAAACGTTTTCAAATCTTTGTCATTCTTTCGCTCTCACTGCTGATGAGAAGATGGCGTCTTCAGTTCTTTCTTCATTTGCAAAACGGTGCAAAATAGCAGAGGAGATTTCGCGTTTACATATCTTGCGCGTACTAGTGCGCCGAACGTTCGATCGACTGTTACACAGTAGCATTTCGTCTCAGGTTATGGAATTTAGTTTAATTTGTTAGTGCGCATTCTTCAACTTATTCGTTCTGTTGTGCATTGTTTTCATATGTTAATGTTGATTTGCTCTCTATAAAGTAAACTTTGATTGTTTCTTCAGAGGAGCGTGAAAAATCTGGTCTGCCACTTTTGGCCGACAGTGCGACGGAAAGGTTACGTCAGGAAAAGGAAACGTTACTGTAAGCGGTTTTGTTAATGTTTGTTAATTTAGTTTTATGTGCTGTTGCTTAGGATGAGCAGAAACGAAAGCTTAATGAGTATGGGTGCGAAATTGCCATACGATAACACGTCATCCAATGAGTTGTCTTTTGACAAGATGAACAACGTGACCAATATGGATTCGGCATCGTTGTACCGGCAAAACGCGAAACGTGCCATCGACGATATGAACTATGCGACTGCTGAGAACCTGGCTGTCTACCGCCAACGAGAGCTGCAAGAGAGGTTGTTTCAACAGCAGCAGCAGCAACATCAGCAACAGCAACAATCGCAGAATGCTGCGGTGGCCGCTGCCGCTGCCGCCTTTCCTTCGACCCCGGACAGGTACCTGAAACCGGGGATGTACGCCGGCTTCCGACACCCGTTTCCGTTCTTGTCGCCTCTGCCGGACACCATCTTTTCTGCCGGTCAGAGCAGCCTCAATGATCGGTGCCTCGGAGGTCGGTGCGTGCCGTCGTCCGCCTCACAGTGTATGCCTTCC